TTTTTTTTGAAAATGTATTTGTGTGCATATAGTGGCCATCTTGGATTTTGATGTGACAACCCAATTTTTTGAAAAGAACCTCTCTTACACATGGATGTAGCCACACATAAAAATGGAAGTTGGTACCTCTCATTTTTTTTTAAGTTTTCATGCTCACAACATGCACAGATAGACAGACGGATGGACAGACGGAGTCCAATTGTTGCGTTTCACTCCATGAAGAGGGACAAAAAGACTTTCTGCTTTAACTGAATTCTAAAATCGGCTTCAAAACTGCCAACACAATCAATGAACTATATTCTTATGCAATTTGACTCATTTGGGCTTGTAGAAAAAAAAAAGTATGTTGCTGTATAAAACACAGCTGGACCCCTGTGGAACACCCCTAACATAAGTAAGTACTATGTGTTGTCATCATTTTATGTTTCTTTACAATGGTGAAATTAGTTCTCTGCATTTAACCCATCACAGCTGAGGTACGCCCAGGTGGAGCAGTGGGCAGCTATTGAGCGGCCAGGGAGCAGTTAGGGATTAGATGTCTTGTTCAGAGACACCACGACATGTGGGAACAGCTGGGAGTCGAGCGGTGACTTTCTGGTCCCAGGTCGGCTGTCCTACCTCTACCCCATCTAGCCCCCCCCCCCCCCACACACACACATGCATGCATGTCTACCTACATCATTACATGTACCTACTTTTTCATGAGGAATTTATTGATGGTCTTCTGTTTTCTCATGAACTGGACAATCAGTCGGTTCAGGTAGACAAACAAAGCCCCACCAAATCCACTGGCAATACTGCAGAGACAGACAAAACAGGACAGTTAACTTAATTTTCTTTCACATTTGGCACCAGAAAGCACTCTGCATGATCAAACCGAAAGTAAAAGGAACAAATTGGTTAGAGTGTAAACAAACCAGCGCATCAAAGTGCAACATTTTATCTCTTGAACCACCTCCATGAGTCGCTGCCAGTGCGTTTGGCCACAATAAAAACAATGGAAATGTAATGAGGCTCTAATGCACTGGAGGCGGATGTCAACGCTGAGTGAGAATGTGATGTAGTGAAGTCATAAAATGTACAAAGCTTGGACCAAAACATGCGGAGGAACAGTAGAATGTAAATAAAGAAAAGCCACAAAGAGACCAACGGAGTAACAGAGACAAAGAATCAAAGGAGAAAATGTGGTAACGAAACAAAAACTAAAACAGGAATTGCAGCTGAGAGGTGGAAGCACATCACTGACAAATGGGGATGTGTGGGGGAGTTGGAGAAAAAGCAGAAAAGAAGGTTTATGTAAGTGTGTATTTAAAAGCTCAGTGGGAGTCTCTTTATGGCAAAGAGAAAACACAGGAATGATGTGGGAAGAGAAAGAATAGACTTCTGTTCAGAGACAGCCAAACACTTTTAAATCTTTCCTGCTGCATTTTTAATTCCATCAAATGTCTTTGAATAAAAAATGAGCATGGTGTTGAGAAGATCCGTGCCTCTTTAATGAAGAATAAAGAAAACGCCTCCTGTCTGCTGTTGTGGTCATTGTAGAATCGATGTGATCACTTTTTAAAGACAAACTTGTTTTTCCCTTAGCGTTGAGAAAAAGATGAAAGTTGGGTTTGGGGTCCTGCCGAGAGACATTTTCTTATGTTTAATCAAACTTATTTCTTATCTTAAGAGAAGAAAAACATGTTTTGTTTTTATTAAAACTGCTTTTTTTTCTAGTAAAGAATACACATTTGACAGACTTAGGCCCTGTTCAAGCCTTGCGTTTAAAGCTCACCTTTGGCAACTGCAAGTAAACAGTTTTGATTAAAAGCATTCACACCTGACAGTTAAATTTGTACTTTAAAATGTTTTTACAATCAGATGTAAACTGCTCTGTAGGTAGATACACATGCAGTCATGTCAGTGTGTTTCTATAAAAACTGCAAAGCGTTCAGAAATCTGAACCTTTATTTGACGTGTGTCAAGTTAGGTGGATGAAAAGAGGTGTTGAGGTCAGACTGCCCATGTCTGGTGGAGGTGGACATTTGAAGAAAGCCATCTTAAAAGTTAATGAATGATCAATAAAATAAGTTTTGTGGGTGTGTTGATTAAAATAAAGATTTTATGTCTGTCTGTCAAGGTGTTGAAATAATTAAATGTTATTATGATCTTTTTTGTAATCATAAATATCCTATATCTATTTTGTGATCAAACAAGTATTCGTTAAGTTATCGTAAAAGTTAGATCTGACTTTCACTTTTAATTGTCAAGTCAAGCAATTTTAGAAGTTATATTCACCTTGGTAAATAATTAAGAGTTTTTGTGAGTTTATATCTCTATTAGTTTTGTGAGTTTATATCTCTATTAGTAATTATTTTTATGTTTAAGATTAAATGTTTAAGAGTAGAGAAATAATCAAAGTGGCTGCCAGATAGGAGAAAGTGAACTAAAGTTGCAACGCTCCAAGACACTTGTGTCAAACTCAAGGCCCGGGGGCCAAATGTGGCCCTCATTGATATCTTATCTGGCCCCCAAGAAGATATGCTAAACACAAAATACTTGTGTCACTTTAATTTTTTCAGTAATCTTTGATTATGATGTCAAAAGTGCAGCAGGGAATGTCAAATGAGACCAAGCAAACTCTTGTTAAGGAACATGCAACCAAGAAAGGACGTCAAGTATATACCTTGAGTTAATGTAGAATCTGAAATTGGCCCTTAGTTTGAAAAAGGTTTTAATTTCGGCCCCCTTTTGTAAGGGAGTTTGACACCCCTGCTCCAAGAGATGGTTAGGCAGAGCAACTGTCACGAGCTTACAACAGAAAGGAAGTATGCTATCTAGACAAGCTGTTGCATAAAAACCACAAACACACACACAAAAAGGGGGACAAACTGTGCTAGCTGTTGACAAGTTTTCAAAATGGATGTTTGATCATAGATGAGCCAATCAGGGAATGGATGATTAGGTCAGAAATGAGCCAGTCAGAGACAAGAGATGAGTTTAAGAAGACAAGATATAGCAGACAAAATTTGGTCAGTCATTTGGGGTAAAAGAGGAACACGATTGTCAAGCCCTGAAGACTTGGATTAGATCTGAAGATTGAAGAGAGAAGATTTTGGCTGCAGAAGAGCTGAAGAAACGAGAACAGATGATGAAAAATTAAAGCAATGAAGAACCGCTCAGCAGCACATGATCACCCTTCAAGAGAATAATCCCAGATAACTGAACAAGTCTCTGATTGGAATTAATTACATTTAATGACCGTTTTCAACAAAGGCTATAGGAATTATTCTCCTTTTTCCTGGAAAACCGATCCAATCATGGGATATGCGGTAGGAACCAGCCTTTTTGAAACATTTTACCCAATTTAAAAATTATAGGTTGCATTTTGTGTTTTTTCTTAGGGACAGCACAGTTAGGATGTAGGCCATTTACAAGAGATTATTATAAGCGATTGGTGCATCCACACCTAGAGGAACTTGGATTCTCACCCGTTTTTTTTATTTTTATTTCATTCATTATAACTGCGTTTTTTGAAACGCATTCGTTTGCACTGCTGCTGGATTTTTGGAAGCTACGAATGTAACCTTATGCAAATGTATGATTAAAAATGCAAATCATGAAAATCAGTGTTGGACTCATTTACCTGATGGCATCTGAATGATACATGCTCATTGCTGAACTTACTCAGGAAGTGTGCTTGGTTCTGAAATTTTTTGGGAGGTTTTGAACGGTTACTTAGTTTTGGACTTTTAACAAACATCTCTGCAGTCAGCAGTCCTGATTGCTTGAAAAACACCAGGTCAGATTCCAATTACATACGTCACAGAGGGAGAGCAGGCGTTAATGTGGGATTTCTCACGGTGAACTTGGGGTCACAGCTACTTGACCCTAGGAGCTGTGAGATGCAAAAGAGGTGTTTCCCGCAGATGAAGGTTGTTAGTGCCTGGTCAAATCTTTCTCGAACCCAGCCTAAGAGGGCCTGACCATAGTATTGTTTGGGTAATACTCAGGAGTCTAGGGGGGTCCAATTACCGGTTAGACAAGGGCTGGAGGGAGGGGTGCTCAACCCTGAGAAGAAAACACTTGCATTTTCGTAGAGTTCTCTCTTTAAAGGCTTAATTATCATGATACTTCCATGGTATGGAAGAAATTTATTAAAAATCATTAGTCAGTATAAAAACTAAATATTTTAACTAATAAACTCCACAGTGCTCTTTGTATCCTTATTGCATGCTTTAGTATTTATTGTTTTTTAGCAAGTCAAATCAGTTCTTCTCATCCTAAACATTTCATTGTATTGTTGACGTTGTGTTAACCTGCATATGACAAATAAACAATATAACATAACATCAGCTTTTCTTTGAACATAATATCAGCTTTTTGTCTAATTAGGTGATAAAAATGCAACATGACACTGCTCCGACTGTTTTTCTGTTATTGACTCAGCACAATATAGCTCACGGTGATGGCTGTGGGTCCAATCAATTAAAATAAAATATAAGAATAAACTTTAAACTATGGAAAAATTCACCACACTGTGTCTTACAATACAGCTGATTAAACAAATCACAAAAAAAAAAACCACAAACAAAACTGACTGGTGGGTGCTGGCAGTGATTCATCTGGACTTTTTTTTACCTGTTTCAACCGGCCAGTCACTGCGCGGTCAAACAGCCTGACACAATCCGGCCCACCCATCCAGCACACTATTTTGGCCCGGACAGGCTGCATGCGAGCCCAGGAAGGCTCTACTATAGACTGATCGATATATCGGTAAGCCTGATAATTTAGGCCAATATAGACACTTGGGGACCTATCGGTATTGGAGATAATTGTCCCATTGTGAGCTGATATAAACACTACTTATGTTCACTCCTAAAATGTTGGAACCAGCCGTAATTGTACATTGTGTCCTGCAAAAGGCGTATGAAGACTACTTTCAAGTCATGGCCGTTCACTTAAGTTTCCCTTTCAGCACAGCCAAAGCAGGGAGCAATACTGTGTGGCATATTTTGCTGAACAAATCATGGTAAGTTTATTTTAACTGATCTGTAAAATAAATCAACAATAATAAATTCTCTTCAATCCTCCAACCTGCTTGTCGTTCGCTTCTTAACTTGAGAGGCACGTACCTAACATTTAGATAACCTAGCATAGGCTATTTCCTTTTAAAACTTGATCCAGAACAATAAATCTAATTTAGAGGTAAATATCAGTGTTAGTAACGTTGTCTTTGCCGTCCTCAATGAAATGCATTGTTTGTTTGAAATCTTTACTTCTCTGCAAAGAAAAAAGAACTCTGCTACGGTTAACACTGGCGGTAAGATGGCACCTGTGTACATGGCTTGCAATCCACCTCTGCTGATGGTGTTCGTATTTTTGGTGTTTTTTTCATTTCTCATCTGTGACATCAACGCTCTGCTGGTGTATGAACGAAAACAACTTTTGGATCTTCGACTTTGTGGCACCAATGTCGCTTATTTTGATCAATACAAGCGTTACTCTGGACCCTCCCCTTTCCCCCCGCTGCTGGCGGACGTGCCTGCTTACCTGCAGCGAGGCGAGCACCTGCCTCCCCAGAGACGTCGCTCCAGACAACGTGGAAAACGCACTGGCCGGCTGGTGAAACTTAAAGCCCTGCTTCCTGCCTCTGAAACATCCTCTCCAGATGATGGTGAGCTTTTCCACCTCCGCTCATGGTGCTGTACAGATCCTGTGGCGCGCTGTCTGGTCCCGCTGTCGGGGTCTCATCCTCACACTGGGCCCGTGCGCGGCTGGGTTTCCTGCCGGAGGCGCGCGTCTAACTCTGCAA